AGACAGGTAATGTAAATTAAAACTTCTAATGCAGGTAGAATTGTGTTTCACAAAAAAGGTACAGTGAGAGTGGCAAAGGATTATGGGAAATAAGGGAATTATTTGTAACTGATGGATCAGAGGTACTTTCATGGAAGATGTGACGCTGAAACCAAGACTGGAATGAGAATAGGAATTTGAGAGGCAGAAGCAAGGGAAGTGTCTTGTAGGCTGAGGGGAGCATGATCGTGAAAACACCTGGGCTGGTCCCCTTGGGGAGCAGGAGATGACCCAGTGATACAAGAGTGGGAGGTGAGAAGGTGTAGCGGAATGTTTTCCTGTGTTTACTTAGGGTCGGAGGTTGGCTGACATTCTGCTTTAAAAAAAACAGATGTCTTTGATGGGTTTTGTGAGTGAGACTGATGTGTTTGGCTTTGTGTTGAAGAGAGCTCTAGTGTTGGTATAAAAGGGAATGAGGAAGGCAAGACTTGGAAAATGTAACGAAGGGGCTGCTTACAGAAGTGCAGTTGAAGTGTGGAAGGGCTCCCCAGGGTGAAAGGAGTTGGGCATATGGGAACATGGACGTAGAAGTAACAACACGAACAGTTTGTCTGAATGTGTGGGTGAGGGGCAGACAGGAAGGCATCATAGATGGTGGAGATTTATAAACTGGCTGATTTAAAGTGTTAACCTGTTAATATGTTATGTGTGCTCTTTTTTCTTAGTAGGAAAGTATTCTACTTTATTAATCTTTTCAGAGACTAATTGGGGATTTTTAATAACTGTTGTTTCTCTGTTTTTATGACATTCTTTTCTGTACTACTTTTGTTTTATCGTAGCTCAATTGGTATTCTTTTCTCACTAGAAACTCTTAGTTTATGAATTTTTATTGAGGTTCCACAAGCTAATGGTGTCATTGTCATTTTCTAAATATTTTGTGTATAGTTAACACTTGTCAATTTCTGGTGTATACTATTATTGTTTATACGTTCATGTTACCCTCTGTGTCATGGGTACACATAATTCAGGTACATAACAACTTTTAAAATAGTGGGAAAAAAATGAATGGCCCTGGTTCATTTAGTGTCCCAAATGGGCCATTCCAAGACTGGAAAGTCAGATGTTTGCACATTATACTGTGAAGTAGCATACTACTACGGTTTGAATTCATTATTTATCATCATTTTTTTTCCCCATCTTAATAGGATCTTCAGACTCTAGGAATAGGATTTATGAAGGTTTATCTTTTATTTCCTAGATTACCCGCAAGTATCAACTTCATGAAGTCACTGCCCTTCTATTAGAAAAGAAAGGAGATGTTCATGGTGCCTTCTTAACCAGGAAGCCACCCACGCCCAGCTCCTGCTGTGCCTAGAAGACCTGTCAGGAAGGACGCCAGGAGGGGGCTGCAGAACAGTGACCGACCTTGGGTCACTGCTGGGCCCAGGCAGCAAGAAGCATCTAGTCCCTGTGGGCAGGAGGCCAGCATATGAACGGACAGCAGAGCAGAGGTGCTGGCACCAGGAGGCCGGGCGGGCACTGGGGTACGGACTTCAGTCTCCCTTCTCCACCTGCTGGCCTAGCTCTGTGTGGGGCGATGGCTGACCAAGGGCTTTAGGAAGGGTGGGAAAACTGAGGTTAGAGGCAGAAGAACTTCCCAGGGTTCACGTGGGGGCGAGTCCAGGGTGGGTGGTGCTGGCTTCCTGAGGCCAGGACAGCTCTGCTGCATCCCCGCTCACCTGGGCCAGGAGCACCCCCTCCCCTGGGTGTGAGTGGGTGGCACACGGCCAGCACCCTCTCCTTGAGCAGGGCAGGTCACCCCAGGGTCACGAGATTGGGGTCAGTCTGTGAGTTCAGGTGTGGGTACTCCCACCTCCTCACTGTGACCCTGTCTGAGCCTCAGTTTCTTCACCTTGAAATGGGGGGAGGGTAACAGTGCCAGCCTGGCCAAGGCAGGAGGCAGTGGTGGGTCCAGGCTTTAGCTCCAGGAGAGTCGGGAGGGGTTAAGGGAGGAAGGGAGCTTCCTGGCAGGAGCGCAGGTGGGAGACTGAAGGGGGCACCTGAGGGGCCATGTGACAGGGAGCAGGGTTGGTGGGGCAGAGAGGAGGCAGTTGGATGTCAGAGTCACAGCCAGAGACTGAGGTTTGACCCCACCTTCATCCTCCAAAGAATAGGTCACTCTTGATGGGAGGAGGCAGAGGTGGGAGGGGTCTCTGCACTGACATGGGCTCAGGTTCAGAGAGTGGGGCTGCAGGGAGGCTGGGAGATGCCTGGAATGATCTTTCTCCTCTGCCCCGCTGTCCTCCATCCCCTCTGGCTGGGTTTGTAGATCCCTCCCTGAAAGATGGGGTTGGAGAGGGAGGGGTAAGTTCAGAGAGGCCACAGAGGCCCAGAATGGTAATGACCCCCATGGGGCTTGCAGGCAGGCCCAGAGCCCATGGGGCCATGCCAGTCTGTCCGTCAAGATGGGCACAGCCGAGGCTACTGTTGGCTGTGGCCCTGGCTGGGGCTGCCCACTGCTCCCACCCAGG